TACATGATGTCGGTCTGAATTTGTTGTTTTTTCTCGAGATTCATGCATATTTCACTTTTATAAAGGTTTTGTATTAAAAAAAGCTAAATAGTCATACATATTTATTATTATTTTTATTAAAATAATACATAGAAGAAAGGGGGGCAATAATCCAAATCATTTTTATGTGAGTGTGTAAAAAAAAAAAAAAAAAAAAAAAAAACGATTGCGTGAGGGTAGAGTTATATAAATGGTTTTTAAATTTCAAAAAGTTGAAGCAACAAAAAAAAAGTGGACGATGAGTGAGGAGAGAGAGAGAGAATATAGAAAAAAAAAAAAAGATATATAATATTATTGATTTAACAAGAATGGGTATTTCCTAAAGTAACTCAGTTCTTTTTACCGAACCAAGAAGAACGCTTTGGACTTTTCTCTGGTAATTTTTCATCTTGTGCACTAGTTATAAAAACGTCAGTCATAAGAAAGACAATCAATGACTTATTTTGTGTGGTTTACCTCTCTTGTACTGCTCCTCCGCCTCTCAAAGGCTTAACAATTCTGTTAAAACTTAACATGGAACCACCTTGAGATTTATGGGTACGGGCTTGTTCTAAACGATCTCTAACAGCTTGAAGTTGAGACTCGAATCTAGTGATGGGAAAAAAAAAAAAGAATTTAGTAAAGGTACAGGTAACTCGGTGGGGATGCTGGAACCCTTACTTGTCGTTTTGGATTAGTAATTTATTTTGTGCCTCCTTTAACAAGAACTCCAAATTTTGAATACGCTCGTTTCTTGCAGATAATTTACGATCTGATAGTGCGGCTTCTTTCTTGAGTTGTGAGTTTTGTTCAACAAGCTGAGATAAAGTAGGAGTGTTCATTATTGTTAGTACTATTTTTTATAAAGATACAAACATAAAAAAAAAAAAAAACGAATATGTATATATATATATATGAAAAAAAAGGAAGTACTTACTTGTTTTTGTACATTGGTCAATTGATCCAAATTTCTTTCCAAGAGCGACATTTTCTTTTGTTGTGCTTTATTGTTTGTAGCCTTCAACACATTGTTCTTTTGTAGTCTCGTTTCATCTAATGCGACCTCCAACTCCACTTCCTTCTCACAGCGGCTTTGAAGATCCCGCATTAACACTTTCTTCATTGTTTCGAAATCTGCCAATTCCTGAGCCATTGTCTTGCGCATCTTTTCTAACTCCTTTTCTTTCTGTTCTACAGTATCTTTTGTATTTATAATAACAGGCTCTGACTTCATTTTCAAGAGCTTATCATGAGTCTCTTGGACCTCTTTCATGACACTCATCAGCCTGTTTTCCTCCTTTGTCTTCTTTTCCATATCAGATTTAAGGGACTCGATTTCTTTCTCTTGAACTTGACGCTTGATAATAAACTGGCTTTCTAATTTTGTCTTGAGTTCGGCAATAGAAGCAGCGATATCTGTGGTTTGCTTTACATCCAACTCTTCCATAGCGATTGTTTTATCTAAAAGTTCCTCATAGTCTACCTCCAAATTACTAAAGCGGATCTCGAGATCATCCCGTTTGATAATCAGCGAATCTCTTTCTTGTTCAAGATTGTCAATGGTGACTTTGTGTTGTTCAATGGCTGCTTTTGTGACCTGTAAGTCTTGACGCAACTTTCGGATGGCTTCTGGTGTGATATCTTGAACATTTAATTCATGTTCGATACCTTGTTTTTTCTCTTGAGCATCTTCCACAGCCACTTCAGCGGCCTTGATATGCTCTGCATTTTTCAATTCAGCCGCTTCTAATCCAGCTAATGTAGCCTTCAGCTCATCTAATTCCGCCGTATATTCCAAATTGGCTTCCTTAAGAGAATCAATATTGATTTCACCTTCTTTCTTTTCATAAGATTCCTTTTCTAACTGAACTTGGGCCTCACTTAGTTCGGATGATAATGACTTGTTATTGTTACCAGATATCTTTTCATTATCCTTTAACTCTGCCAACATTTCTTGAATCTCGTTGACTTGTTTTTCACGGTTGGCTAATTCAGCGACTTGTTCAGCGATTTGATCCAATAAATCTTGTTCGCGTTTCAAAAACTCGTCCTTTTCATCTTTTCCGAGCACCATGGCAGGTGTTGAAGGTCTAGATGCATCATCGTCGGTAGAAAGTTTAAATGCGGGAGCGGGAGTGGGAGGAGGTGTGATGGGGGCATCAACCGTTGCTGCTGCTGAGGAGGATGCGGACGGTGAAGCGGGTTTTGTTTTTCCGTTGGCTGATGCCCAACCGGATTCGGGTACTTTCTTACCAGCTCGCCATAAACTGATTTCGTTTTCGAGAGCAGCAATATACGCCTTGAATGAAACGGCATCGCCTTTCACACGTTTCAATAAGGCTTTAAGTTCAGCAGGTGATAAATCAGCATTGACCTTGGCCTTATTCTTGATGGTCTTTGCACGAGCACCGAAACGTAAGGTGGAGATGGATTCGGCTTCATTGTAAGAGGAAGGAGAAGAATTGATGATGAGTGTAGTACGTGAGTTACCACCCAAAGATTCTTGCAAGATACGGGTCAATTTTGAATCTCTGTAAGGAACATGACTTGACTAAAGAAAGAAACATTGGGGGTATAAATATCCCAAAAGAATAAAAAAAAAAAAAAAAATCGCATAATTTCTTGTTGTGTGGTTTGTACCTTTCCATCTGTCAATGAATTAATGACCATACCCAAAGCAGTAAGAGATTTATTAATTTTTTTGGCTTCCTCCAATGTTTGACCGGAGGCACCGGTTTTGCCAACTTTTTCAGAACCTGCTAAATCGACCAAGTATAATTTACCACTCTTTGCAGCACCTGTGTCTAAATTCTTTTGTGTGATTGTGACGAGTACAATAGAATGACTTCTTGAACTCTCCGCATTCATGTCTAAAAAAAAAAAAAAAAAAAAAGCAGGAAACATTTAAACTTAATCATGATTTAAAAATAGAGTGACGAAAAAAAAAAAACTTACTAGTGGATGCAACAACACGATTATCACCACCAATTCTCATGACTTCATAGACTTGGTCTGTGTCAGATACATACACTTCTTTAATTCCTTTAACATAAACACCCTTGACTTTATCTTCATGAATAGCCAAGTTATCATTTGCAGCTAGCAGAGGGAAATGAAGAAAGAAATAAGAAAAAAAAAAAAAAGTTAGAATATAAATAGTAAATAAATAAAATGTTTGTTATACTTACGAACTAAAAGATCTCTTACTTTTTCCATATAAATTTCCATATAAGCGACTTTCACAGTGAATTCCATGTTGACTGGAGCCATCTGAATACTTTCAAAGATCTGTTCGATGATACGGGGAATGATACCCTTATTTTCTTGATCATCGATGCTAGAACCCATCATTGTGAAGGTTTTACCGGAACCTGTTTGACCATAAGCAAATACGGTACCGTTGTAACCAGCAACCACATCTAGAATTTTTGTTTGGTTTTTTTAGAATTTCATGCGACATTTTTTTTTCTCTCTCTCTCTTTAGAATCTTTTTTAATGTAGATAAAAGTCTCACCATCCACAATGGATTTGATTGAATATTCAAATACTTCTTTTTGTCCTGTATTTGATCCAAAGCATTTATCAAATGAAAATGAATTTGTGTCTTTTCCCTAAATCCACATAGACGATGATTTTGAGTTCCAAATTATCATAAAGAAATAGAAAAAAATAAAAAAAAAAAAAATCAGGTACACAAAATATACCTTGAGAGAGACACCAGTTCCGTCCTCAGATATTTCAATAATAGGTACACCACCCTCTCTTATTTCCATTTTATTTTGAGGTCGAAAACGACAAACTACTTTAATATTGTTGCCTGACATGGTTGCTTTAATGAACTATGTTGATATAAGAGATGGTTTCTAGATGATGAAGTGAATGAAGAATTATGATTATTCAAAATAAAAAAATAAAAAAATTAGAGAAGAGAGAGAAGAGACCAGAGAGAGAGAGAGAAAAAAAATTAAAAAATAACAACTGGGTGTAACAAAAAGAGAGAGAGAAAAAAAAAGAAGGACAACTCATGACGTCGAAAATATCGGGTTTGTAAAAATAATAATTTATAAAAATTTATGATTGAATGAAAATGCTATGGAAACGTTCAAATTCAGCCGCACTATTGAGGTCGATACAATGACGACCCGTCATATTGGTATTTGTAGTGTTGGGTAATAATCGAGGCATTTTAACAATACCAAGTTGTTTGTGTTGATGAACCTAAAATAATAACATGTTGGCATATCTCACACTTTTTTTTTTTGAATACTCTTTTCTTTTGCTTTCTTTACCTTTTCGTTGTTATTATGATTTGCTAAAGGAGCAGTTGTGATTTGAAGATCATCTACCTTACGTCTCAGCTGTACACTACGCTGCTTGAGTGTATACAACACAGACTGTTGTGTTTGGTATTGATAATCAGGTGATTTCTTGATGGTTTGCCATGAACAAGGGCTTGCTTTTGTTAACTGAATGACTCTAGGTGATGCACTTGCAATACGCATATCTTTTATTAATGCACGTGTTTCTCGGGCCACGGAACGTAATTCTTCTGTTTTAGGTTCTACTTTGCTTGAGATTGCCTTGCTTGTATCTAAATCTAATGATCTTACGAAATCGCTGCTCTTTAGTTGTGCATTTTCTGCTCTCAGATAACGAATCGATGCCTTTAACGTTTCCATCTGGCTTGTCATTTCATAGTAGTTACCGGCCATTTCTTGCACAGCAGAAGAGGATGTATTATCATCTCCTTCCATGTTCAAATCAAAGTTGGCTTTTCTCAACATACTCTGTCGCTTTTCGTTTCTTTTGTTGGCTTCCTTTTTCAGTGTGTTATTCTCGGCTTCTAAAATGTCATATTCGCTTTGAAGATTTTCGAGTGCTTCTGCATACATTTGTTCTTGATTGGTTGTCTTATCAAGCGCTTCCTCCAATGATTTAACATGTTCAATTTCTCTTTTAGCAATTTCCATTCTCTTCTCAAGTAAACTGACTTTCACGTCGGATTCTTGAAGTGATTGGTCCTATTTTAAAAACAGATCGTTGAGCACTTCGAGTTACACAAGCACATCATTTTTTTTAAAGCTTACCTTTAATCGAACATCCTTGATAAGCTTAATAATCTCTTCATTATGTTGTTGTAACTTGTGCTCTAATTCATGATTCACAACAACCTCTGCCTTAATATCCGAAGCACGTTGAATCCATGGTGCCACCTTGGTAGTAACTATTTGGAAAAAAAGGGGGTAACAAGGGGGGGGGGGTTGTGAGTATAAAATGTAGGAGCGAGGGAAATGATATAGATATATATATAAAGCCTTACTTTTATCCAGTTTATCATCATGTTCAATTTGTGAATGCGTGGTTTCAAGTTCATTGGTTAACGTTTTTAGTGTTCTTAGTGCACTTTCCCACATGGTACTTTCAATCATTTCAAACACTTCATCACCTTTTTCACGAATCATCTTTTGGATAGCAGATAATTCGATTTCCTCATGACTTCCTCGCTTGGTATCGATGTAGCTCGTAATCTCTTTATAGGTCTAAAAAAAATTTGGGGTCAGTTTGTTCTGTTTGTAGTATATTGGAGAGCTAGATTATTTACATCAAAGCAGAATCGACATAATTTCGAGCTGATAGCATGCAACATTTTGAAACGATGCAAGTGTTCGGACTTCAGAGTCATGGCTTCTTCAAACATATCTTCTAATTGGCGCATTAACTTCTTTGCTATAATTTTACTATTCTTGGCTTGTGCTATCAGACGACCGATGGGTTCAAGGTAATCTTGATCCATTTGTTCATTTCCTTCCATGATCACCAGTCCTTCCGAACGGGCAGCATTGTTTAAGGACTGTTTGGCAAATGTCAAGATTACAATCATGCGATCCGAATTCAAATCAAGTGCCTTTGTCAAACCAAAGAATTGATCGGCGTGGCTCTTTTCTTGGTGTTGAGTGAGATGAGTTTCTGCTAAATGCTCAATTTGAGCAATGACTCTTTGAAGTTCTGTCAAGCAATGAGTTTCGTTGACTTGGTCAGTTCTGAACAACTCTACAATGGCATTCATTCTATAAAAGTATATGCGTCAATAATGTTCGTTAGTCAGTTTTTTGGTTGGATTTACCTTCTTTCAACACCAATCAAGTCAAGATAGACTTTACCCATCTTTGTAAAGGTGTCAGGATCACTATTCTTGATATGTGTTTGGAATCGAGTGGATAAAGAACTCAACCATCCAGCTCTTTGCTTCATTTCACAAATGGTCACCAAGTTCTCGGTAACATTGTCCATGATCTTTTCACTGATAGGATAATTCTGATCCAAATGTTTGACAATGAGGCCTGCTTTAAACTCGAGTCGCTTAAACAAGAGTAAACAAGAAATCGGATCGTTTTCGGTTTTGAAGAAGGATTCAGGCAAATATGGTTGAATCATGTTGAGACGATCATTTGCTTGAGATGCTTCCAATTTACGTAACTCGATATCGATGGCCTTGGCTTGTGCTTTCATGACGGTGGTCTGAAGTTGGAAGTTGAGCGACATCATGGCTTGAGATTGACTGCTCAAGGTGATCTTTTCTGTTTGTTCGTTCTTTTCCTTGTGTTTAAACTCCTCCAAATCATTCTGTAAGAGAACGACAAGTTCTCTAAACTGACCGATGGTGGCTTCATAGTCAGCAGTGGTTTCCTCATTGACTCTTAAACGGTCCAATTGTTCTCTCAAGAGCATATCACGATGATCGATTTCATCCTGCAGTTGTTTTTCGGTTTCCATATGGTTTTCTTCTAATTCATCCGCTAATTCTTTTAATGCTTCAAGGTCATCCACGGTAGCACTAAGTTCATCCATTTTTTCGGTTAGGTTAAGATTCTTTTCTGTCAGTTGATCAACAAGATCTTCAGCCCCGAGCGCGTCATCTAACTGCATTTTCAAATCCTCTACTAACGACTCCGTCATATCTAATCTTTCCTTTGTTTTTTCATATTGGTCTAAATCACGAGGTCAGTTTTTTTTTTCCTGAAAAACATGTGATGTGTGGCAAACTCACTCTTAATTTCTTCTAGTTCATAATTTTCTTGTTCAAGTGTCTTGATCTTATAATTTAATTCATTTTCTTGTTCTGCAGCGGCATCTCTTAATCTATTTCGTTTTTTTTTATAAGTCTATTGTTCAAGTTATATTACAGCGAAATAAGCCTTACCTTAAAAGAGCATCCTTCAGACGTTCATTGTGTCTTTCAAGTTGTACGACTTCCAAAGGAGTTCTTTCTTCATTGTCATCCAAGTTGATCTCTGGTGGTTTATTCAGTATATCAGCCTCCTTTCTCAAAATATCCAAATCGACAGTGATTTCTTCAATTCTGTCTTTAAGCATACTCGTTTCTTGTTGTAGATTCTCAGCCCTTTCTTCAGCCACTTCTTTATCTAAAGTCAGCATTTCCATGGACTCTAAAAGTTCGTTGTATTTTGATTCAAACGATTCCTTCTCATTTGCAGATTCTTTTAATTCCCTTCGCGTGTCTCTGACATCTTTTTGAAGATCTGCAATTTTATCCTGAAGCTTGTTTCGAAGGGTCAAGAATTGCTCGGCTTCTTCGTTGATTTTCTCATGCTCTCGGAATCTTTCACGATCCTCGTGTCGTTTAGCTTCGAGAATCTTGAGTTTAAATCGAAGTTCTTCATAATCTTTAAGAGGTACTGTCTGATCTAATTTACTGACGGGTTTGGAAGAGGCCAATGAACCGTAGACAGGTTTCTGACGGGGAATAGGTGGGGTTTCAGGTGTGGATGGTTGCGATAGGTCATCGTCCTCTTCTTCCTCAGGTTCATCAACAACAGTTTCTTCCTCTGCCCCAGGTTCATCATCATCCTCTTCTTCTTCGTCGTCTTCATCGTCGTCATCATTATCCTTATCCAAAGAGACAGGACTAGATACAATCATGGAGGAGTTTGCATTTGTATTGTTTTGACATAAACTATCAAATTCAGCCTGCCTTCTCTTTTCTTCCTCATCATTATGATCAGGTGTAGAAGGAGCGGTTAAAGGTGGCCTTGTTTTAAGAATGGATGAAGGCGGAGGAGGTAAAGCTGTACCTTGAGTGTTTGCTCTCGGTCTTCTCAAGATACCTGCTGAGGTTGGTGTAGGAGGTTGTTTGGGGGGAACGATGGACTTCCTTCTATTGGTGTTGATCGGTGCGGCAGTACTTTTACTCGACGCCAGCGAGCCAGTACGGCTTGTATTATTAGTAGTAGATTGTAAAAGGGAAGTAGGTCTTTTTTGAGGGGAAGGAATAGGAGGAGATACGATGGATTTTCTCCGTTGTTGTAGCGACGGAGGAGGCGCAACGACTGATTTTCGACGTTGCTGTAAAGAAGAAGGAGGAGGAGGCGTTGAAACTACTGATTTTCGACGTTGTTGTAAGGTGGGAGGAGGAGGAGAAGGTGGTGCGACTACTGATTTTCTTCTTTGAAGAGATAATCTGTTACTACTGTTTGGCTATAGTAAATACATATATATATATATAAAACAAAACAAAAACAAACAGAGAACTTTTTTTAATTAAGTTAATTTTTGATATAAAATTTTTAATTAACTTACAGCAGCAGCACTAGCAGTTTCAATCACCTTGACACTAGCAGGTCGGATAAAAACACCATGATTATTTTTACAATCAAAATATCTTTTTCCTTGAACTACACCGCTATTCTTTCCTAAAGCTTCATCCAACTCTACTCCAACCCATTTTCCGGTTTGGAAACTGGTAGTACCAATAAACCGAACAGTGCCTGAAAGTTCATTATTGACAAAGACTCGAGATCCCACAACACATTCGTCGCTTCGAATGACGGAGCTTCGTTTTACGTTCATGGACATGATGAATCGAGATGTGGTTTTCAATCAAACCCTTTTTGTTGAAATGAAGACAAAGAAAATATAAAGCGTTTTGTTTTTAGGAACGTCAAAAAAAAAAGAGAGAAATAAACTATATCCTTTTTTCACTCCTGAAAAATATTTGTGAGTTTTTCACTTTATAAAACAAAAAACAAGAATAAAAAGAATATAAAAGATAAATTAGAAAGAGAAGCTTTTTTTAAATTTTGGCGGGCATTCTATATATTTTTTTTTTTTGAGTGGTGGCACGAGTGCTTCACTCCATGTCCAGCTAGTAATAATTAATAAAGTTTGTCGGCTAATAAAAATTTGAGCAGGTTCATGGTGCTAAACCAACATGTACCTGTAATGAACAAAAAAAAAAAAAAAAAAAAAAAAAAAAAACCAAGGTTACCAGTGGGTTCTGTAAAAAATTGGTTGAGTCGATCTTTTTAAAATACAAGTAAGCTACAATCCTGCCAGGATAAAGGAAATGTTACCATTTATCGATAAATCACAAACTTTTTTTAGCGTTCATAAACAACTCTGACAAGATGACCTGGTTCCTGATTACTTTGTTTTCGAAGAGCTTTAGTCCGGTGGAACCCCATAATTTGCTGTGATCTTACATCTGGTAATTCAACTATTTGTTATCAGAGTATACATTTCGGTACAGGTTGTAAACAACAGAACCTTTGTTACAGTTTATTTAAGGTAGCTACGAGTGAGTTTTTGTTCAGAGCTTGTTCTTTATCCAGAGAAAAGATATGACACTCCATTAGCTTAAATCAGTCTTCGATTGTATACACAGTACGCTCTTTCAGTAAACCACTATCTAGGAAAAAACAGGGATTAAAATTATAGCTAAAATATATGTAGCTAGCCGCTATTACCTTGTCACTTCCACGATAGCAATTTTCATATTGTTTGAGGTCTTCAGAACGTCAAGAACATCACCATACTTCCTATGACGCTGGTTGTGGTCGGATTCGGTTATTTCGAATTGCCTGTTTGAACCGAATTCAGTTTTGCACCTAAAGGAGAAAAATAGTTTTCAAAACGATCGCTTTGACAAGTGGAAATATTGATACAATGTTATTTCTCTTCTCGGCAATGCTGATGCGTTCCAAAACAAATTTGATGTCTGGTCTGGCAGAAATCCGCTGATTGGAATTTTTTAAAGCCGCTCATTGGGTAATTTTTTATACCTAGAACGAGATTTTTTTTAGGCTTCATGATGATTGATTTGTTTACATTAATGGCATATATTGCTAATTACTCAACAATTTGCACGCTTACCATTCTTTCACATGTAAATCAGTCAATACTTTTAAATAAAGCACATCTGTTCATAATTCATATGACCCGAATACTGTTATTTTTGAAATAAGTAACCAATTTCCATATTAAATTCTTTTTTTCTCAAGTAAATACTAAAAACATGACAAAGATTTATATAAGCATAGTCTTTTATGCACGAAAAGTTGTGTTCTAATTATCGCGGGACAAGGATGATAAAACGGCTAAGGCTAGTTACCGCTACTTGATAATATGGACTATATAAGATATGTTCCCAACTTTGAGTAGATATTAACGTAGGTTGCATGTCATCCAATTTTAATTCTGTTTACCTGTATTAACATAAACACGTATGTAGACTTCTTTGCTGATCTTGCATACCTTGAAAAAAGGGCGTATTTCTTTAATTAAAGCTACATCTATGATTATTGGGCTCAAACACCATTAATTTTTCAAACAAAATCCCAAAAGAATATAGTCTACCTATGTATACAAAATAACACTTGGTTTCATACGTAAAAAAACTTTCATCACGATATTAGCGATTACGTCGTTATTCATGCAGCAAAAATGCAACAGAATTGTTCAAACCTGGATTTGGATCAATAAACATAAATGTATCGTAGAGCCAGGGGATATAAAAGGGGTAGGTAAAGATGTTCACAGGCTAATTTTAAAAGAAAAGTACCCAGTTTATTTAGTCTCTCATTATAGATGCATAAGTATTTGAAGGCAACACACAAATTTAAGGCAAATGATTGATAATCAGTGCACACAAACAATTATGACTCAAAACAAACAAGGAGCACAAGTCTTAGTAAAGTGTCATTTTTCCCCCTTTTGGTATTAAGCCATCCAAACAATTACGATTGGCTTATTTTAGACTGTATATCATACATGGGATGACATCTACAGAATATCACCCCCCTAAGGCTATTTTGGTGGATTTAGTAGCACCATCGCTATAGTTATCAGGGATAGAGTATAAAATTGTCAATTGATAGGTCTATAGTTGATGTATCTTACTCTGTTCTATATATGCATGCTCCAGTTTGTCAATCAATGTAAGTGATCTTTTGTTGTGCAGAATAACAAAACCAAAAATGCTGGACAATGGATCAGGTTTGTTGATTCTTTTTAAAATGACACTCATGGGACGAAAATTCATGATGACTTGCGTAACAGGAATCTATCACTATTTTATCTTTACAATAAATTCAATTGTTGACTCATTTACTCGGAGGCCAGATCATGCAAAATGAATATACATGTACATGGTGCTGTTTTTGTCCGTATATGTAACGTAAAGCTAAATAAATTCTGGAACCCCATTTAATATATCAAACATGCTGTAGTGTAAAGCCTCTTTTGTTAAGTGAGAGAAGGAAAAGGAATGATGAATTCAATTGGATGTTGCGGGATCCGAGTTTTGTTTACTAACAAATAAAACGATAGATTTGCAATGCACCGAATTTTATGTTGAGCGGTATTCAAATATTATGCCTATGGTACCACGGCCATCAAGTTACTTGTTCCAAGGCTCCTTGGCAGGCTTGGCGTCCTTGGCTGCGGAAGATACTACGCCGTTTAAATTAAAAGTGATATCTACACTGTTTGTGATCAGATAGAACAAACTTCTTTTGACCTATTAAGGAACGTGGTGTTACACCTACTGCTACAAAATTTCGGCGGATCTGGGTTATTTTTTAACATTTGGTTGCCCAAGACCAAGTGGATCCAAATTCTTGTCGTCCCATATTGAACATATTATGCCAAATAAGTACAATCATCGGGTTTTTGGGAACAACGCATACATATATAAAAAGAGAGCCATTTATTTTTCTTTTTGTAATTCTTTGTTTTTCATTCCACTTTTACTAAATTATGTCTGATAATAAGATCGAAGAAAAAATTGATCCAGCAGATTCAGTTTCTATGACAAATGAATCGTCACTCAGTACAGATAATTCTTTAAAAAAAAAAGATAAAGATGACAAAAAGAAGCCCAAGACGCCAGCTGTGCCATTGTACAAGTTGTTCCGTTTTGCGTCTAAAACGGACAAGATCATGATTTTTTTCGCTGCTATTTTTTCTGCAGCAGCAGGTATCCTTCAACCTTGCTCAATTCTTATCTACGGTGTTTATATCTCAAAAGTCTCTACAGCCACCACAGGTGGCATGATTACACTTGAAGATGTGTTACCAGTAATCAAATTGATGGCGGCATTAGGTGTGGTTGCAATGTTAACTGGATATCTGTCAAATTGTTTATGGGTCATTACTGGCGAGAACCAAACAAGAAGAATTCGATCTCTCTACTTACATTCTGCTTTAAAACAAGATATGAGCTGGTATGATGCTGCTGAGGATGGTTCATTAAACACGCGATTGGCCTCCGACACTCAAGTAATTCAAGATGGTATTTCTGATAAGTTTGGTCAATTCATTTCTCTCTTTTGTCAATTTGCCGGTGGATTTGTTGTATCATTTGTTAAAGGTAAATATTTCACAGGCTCCCTAAAAAAGGTATTACAGTAGCTCATCATATACCGTAAAATAAGGCTGGCAAATGTCTTTAGTAATGCTTGCGTTAATTCCGCCTGCTGGTATTGTTATGGGTGTCACCACTTATTATATCAAAACTTATGCTTCTCAAACGCAGACCATTTATGCCGAAGCGGGCACAATTGCCGAGCAGGTGTTCCAGTCTATTCGTACAGTTCACTCATTCACTCTTCAAAAGAAATTCTCTTCCATCTATGGTAAAAAAGCAGAAGAGGCCTGTAATGTGGGCATAAAACGTGCAATTATCTATGGTTCTGGAGTGGGATTTTTTATGTTTGTCTTGTTTGGAAGCTTTGGCCTCTCTCTTTGGTACGGTTCATCACTTGCTGTGCAAGATAAAAACACTGGCGCAGATGTTTTTGTTGTATTTATGGCTATGATGATTGGCAGTGTATCTATTATGAAAATTTCACCCGTTATTTCTGCTGTCTTCAGTGCTGCAGGCTCTGCTTATAAGATCTATGAAATTATTGATCGTGTTCCTGAAATTGATACGGATTCCAAAAAGGGCCTTGTACCTTCTTCTATCACTGGTTCAATCGAATTCAAAAATGTTACATTCAAATACCCATCTCGCCCTGATGTTCTTATTATCGATGATCTTAGTATTAAAATTGAGGCTGGTAAGACAATTGCCTTTGTGGGTCCCTCTGGTTCTGGTAAATCAACTACCATTCAGCTTGTACAACGGTTTTATGATGTCTTATCTGGCGAGGTTACACTGGATGGACACAATATTAAGGATCTGGATGTAAAATGGTTGCGTGAGCAAATTGGCATAGTATCTCAAGAGCCTGTATTATTCAACATGAGCATTCGACAAAACATCCTTATGGGTACTCACACCGAAGTAACAGATGCAGAAGTCATTGCTGCTTGTAAAGAGGCTAACTGTCATACATTCATTACACAATTACCCGATGGTTATGATACGCTTGTTGGAGAACAAGGTGGTATGTTGTCTGGCGGACAAAAACAACGTATTGCAATTGCTCGTGCTATTTTGAAGAATCCTACTATTTTATTGTTAGATGAGGTACTATGAATTTCAAAAATATTGAAGAGCATGATATTAATTTTCAATTTAAATAGGCCACTTCTGCTCTCGACACACAATCTGAACGTCTCGTACAAAACGCTCTTGACAAGGCTTCAGCTACTCGTACAACAATTGTTATTGCTCATCGTTTATCTACTATTATGAAGTCTGACCTTATCGCTGTTCTCGATCATGGAGTTATTATCGAAAAGGGAACGCATGAAGAACTTATCAATCTTAAAGGCGCTTACTCTAACTTGGTTGAAAAGCAAATGATCGAATTAGACAAACATGATTCAGGTAGTCTTGAAACCAGCAGTGTAGATGATGAAGAACTTTTATTACAAGAAAAACTGGAGCTTCAACAAAAGCTTGCTTCTCAGGATAAGAACATACTAGAAAAGATGGAATCTATACACATAGAAAGAAAAGAGCGAAAAGAAATTGATGCATACGATCTGAAAATTCAAAAGCAACTGGAATTAAAAAAGAGAATGAAGCAAGAAAAAGCTCCCATTCGAAGAATAATAACGGATATGAAACCTGAAAGTGTTTATGTTATCCTTGGTCTTATTGGTGCTGCATTTAATGGTGTTGTCTGGCCTATCTATTCATATTTGTTTGCCTATATTATTGCAATTCTTTCAGGTCCAAAAGAAGGTATCCAGCCTTCATCTTTGGGGGGTACAAATTTATTTGCGTTTCTGTTCGTGATCATTGGTATTTGCTCCATGTTAGGTAATGGTGCGCAGATCACATTTTTTCAAATTGCCGGTGAAAAATCTACCCGCCGTTTGCGTGTTCGGGTGTTCGATGCTTATTTAAGACAAGAGGTTGGATTTTTCGATCAGGAAGAAAATAATAGCGGCGCGTTAACCGCCAAATTGGCTGTCGAAGCTCGAAATGTTAATGATTTGATCACAAGAGTCTGTGGAGATATATCTTCATTTTTCGCCACAATCATTTCTGGATTTGTTATTTCTTTTGTACATAGTTGGCAGCTCAGTCTTGTTGTAATGGCTATGATGCCTTTTATGATAGCAGCAACCGCCTATGAAGTTCGTTCAGAAAGAGATTATGTTGATGGCACCAAAAAGGCAAATAGATTGAGCGACCAAGTGGCGGGTGAAGCTATCCGTGAAGCTAGAACAGTGGCCTCTTTAAACAAGCAGTCTCATTTTGAAGAGCGTTACTATCATGCTAGAAAACGCTCACACCAACAAGCTCTTCGTAAAGCATACCTTACTTCTATCGCTGCAGGTTTAAGCAAATCGATGAATATCTTTTCAAGCGTTGTTGCATATTATGCCGGTGTTCGTTTTATGATTAATGGTATGATTACTTTCACAGAAATGTTAGTTTGTATGTCCGTTATTATGTCTGTTGCTGAATCTATTGGTGTCTTCTCTCTTTCTGCTTCCACATTTGTCAAGGCGAAATATGCTGCTATTGCTTCATATGAAATTATCGAACGTAAAAGTGAGGTCGATCCTGATTTGGAAGGCATTGAGCCAGCAGTCGGATCTGTTCGTGGTGATGCCGAGTACAAAGACATCAAGTTCGCTTACCCATCTCGTCCCGACGTTTCCATCTTTAACGGAGATTTCGATCTCAAATGTTTTGCAGGGAAAACAGTTGCTTTGGTTGGTCCCTCTGGATGTGGTAAATCAACCACAGTAGGTATGCTCCAACGATGGTATAACCCACTTGAAGGTACCGTGTCTCTTGATGGAACTAGTGTCAAGTCTTATTCGCTTCACAATCTTCGTAGCCACATGGCAATTGTTTCTCAAGAGCCATCTCTTTTTAATATGACTATTGGAGAAAATGTGAGGTTTGGTGTTGCGGACCATGAGGAGATCACTCAGGAAGAAGTTGAAGCTGCTTGTAAATCTTCCAACATTCATGAATTCATTGTCAGCCTTCCTGAAGGATATAACACCCGAGTTGGTGACAAAGGGTCACAACTTTCTGGTGGCCAAAAACAACGTATCGCTATTGCGCGTGCCCTTATTCGTAATCCTAAAGTTCTGTTGCTAGATGAAGCTACTTCGGCCTTAGATAGTGACTCAGAGCGTCTCGTTCAAGAAGCTTTAGATAATATCATCCAAAAAGGCGGAAGAACCACTATTACCATTGCTCATCGTCTTTCTACAATCCAGAATTCAGATGTTATTTGTGTATTGAAGGATGGTCTTGTTATTGAGCAAGGCACACATTGGGAGCTTTTAGCTTTGAATGGTACCTATTCTGCCTTAGTTTATGAGCAATCTTTATCAGTGCTGTAAAAACCAGAACCCTTAATTTTCCTTTATATGCCCCAGACCTAATTTATACCTATTATCACATATCCTACTTTTTACATACACATAGAATAAATAATTGATTTTGTCACAATAATTATATAACATGTAGCCTTGTAATGATAATTTTAAAAAATGGTATTTAGAATTTTACTTGCATTTGCACCTAATGGTCTAGCATGAAAATATGTCTGATTTTTGTAATTAAGCTTTATCACAGCATTCACATTTTGTGCGCGCTCTATCCTTCATTTTTATTTTTAACTTTGACTGATATGCTTACCTGGGTAATATGAAATGATAATATTGATATTGTTGAACAAACTGTTAGTTTTTATTGATTTTTCAAATATATGATTAAGTTTAGCTTATGCGTATGTATTATTAACTAAGTATCAACCCTTCTGGACTTCACTTACTACCCGCTCTACTCATTATAATTTGAATTCAGTAGGCTTGTAAAATAGGTGCCATTGCCTTTATGAGCAATGAGCAAATATAAAATTACAATACAATTCTTTTCACAACTTTCAAATATATATATATAATTACATGGTTGCTATTCCTTTTACTGTCTTTAATGTATTTTAAATTATATGATGTCGTTCTACATACTAAGTCCTCAGAACCCATAGATTGGTAGTTATATGAAAGTATAAATCAATATTTGGAATATGCGCAATGGATCACTGAAAATAACCAAAACATGGAATAAGTCATCAATTCTAGCGGCCAGATAAAAATACGTATTTAATAATGTCCACTAAAATATAATCCCTTTCAATGCCTGAAAGTGAAATTAATCAACAATTACGTAAGTTGCTGCGGATGCTCTCAATCGATTAAATGTTTGCATTTGTGGCCCAAAAAAATAAACACCGTGTAACAAACAGTTGTTGACTTCGGCGGAATAACGAGCACGAATGTACGCAATACATATAACCGTTTGCATAACTCTATTTTTTTTTGTTTTCTTTCATTTTTGAAGTAATATATTGCTAAGAATTTCGGAACACAATATCATAGTTACATGAATAAAGAAAAACAGAGTACATAACAGTTTGTCTGTGAAGGACACACTTAATAAGCTATTTAAGAAATCGGCCAAGGGTTCCACAATAACCCAGTTTTTCGTACCAAGACATGTCAACCTTGGCCGTGTCTTATCTTAAAAAAGCCGTTACGCAGCTTTAATTCTATTAATCTTACCATGCCTTGTGACCAAAGATTTTTTTTGGGCTGCTTAAGGAAATACAGTGTAACAATTACAGCAATTCGATTTCGGCGGAACTGGGTTATTCTTCATTGTGATTCCAAAACTCGGCGGATCATATCCTTGTCGTCATGTATCAGACATAAAGGACTTGGTTTAAGTCCCATCATTGGATTTCCAAAATCATATAAATATAGGAGGACAAAATTTTGATAATTTTGCATTTCTTATTAATTTTCTTATTACCTAATTATTATATTGCAGCATGTCTGATTACAAAACTGAGAATAAAATAGACTTAAATGATTCACTCTCTATGACAGATGAGTCAACGATAACAAAAGATGATTCTGTTAAAAAAAAGAATGCCGATACCAAAGTGCCAAAGACACCAACCATCCCTCTGTATAAATTGTTTCGTTTTGCGTCCAAAACTGACAAGATCCTGATTTTTTTGGCTTCCATTTTTTCTGCAGCAGCAGGTATCCTCCAACCTTGCTCGATTCTTATTTACGGTGCTTATATTTCCAAAGTCTCTGCCGCCACAACAGGTGCTATACTTACACTCGAGGATGTGATGCCAGTGATCAAACTTATGGTAGCCATGGGAGTTGTCGCAATGACAACTGGGTATCTATCAAACTGTCTGTGGGTCATTACTGGCGAAAATCAAACAAGAAGAATTCGGTCCTTATATTTACATTCTGCTTTAAAACAAGATATGAGCTGGTACGATGCTGCCGAAGATGGTTCATTGAACACACGATTGGCATCTGACACGCAAGTCATTCAAGATGGTATCTCTGATAAGTTTGGCCAATTTATATCTCTTTTTTGCCAATTTTTTGGTGGTTTTATTGTAGCATTTATAAAAGGTACGCTAGTTTCTCAAAAAGAAAAAGAAATTTTATTAAACCGGAATTTATATGATTTCAGGCTGGCAAATGGCTTTGGTAATGCTTGCATTGATCCCTCCCTCCGCTGTAGTTATGGTTTTTACCACTCGTTATATTAAGATCTACTCTGCCCAGACCCAAGATATCTACGCTGAGGCTGGTACAATTGCCGAGCAGGTTTTCCAATCTATTCGTACTGTGCAGTCATTTACCCTTCAAAAGAAATTTTCTTCTATATATGGTCAAAAAGCAGAAGAAGCAAGTAAAGTTGGTGTTAAACGTGCTATCGTTAACGGTACCGGAGTAGGACTTTTCTTTATGGTATTATTCGGGAGTTTTGGTTTAGCGCTTTGGTATGGTTCTTTACTTGCTGTACAAGGTAAAGCTACTGGTGCTGATATCTTCATTGTATTTATGGCTATGATGAGTGGAAGTATAGCGATTATGAGAATTTCACCCGTTATTGCTGCTGTATTCAGTGCCGCCGGATCCGCTTATAAGATTTTCGAGATTATTGACCGTGTTCCTGAAATTGACACGGATTCCAAAAAGGGCCTTGTACCTTCTTCTATCACTGGTTCAATCGAATTCAAAAATGTGACATTCAAATACCCATCTCGCCCTGATGTTCTTATTATCGATGATCTTAGTATTAATATTGAGGCTGGCAAGACAATTGCCTTTGTGGGTCCCTCTGGTTCTGGTAAATCAACTACCATTCAGCTTGTACAACGGTTTTATGATGTCTTATCTGGCGAGGTTACACTGGATGGACACAATATTAAGGATCTGGATGTAAAATGGTTGCGTGAGCAAATTGGCATAGTATCTCAAGAGCCTGTATTATTCAACATGAGCATTCGACAAAACATTCTTATGGGTACTCACACCGAAGCAACAGATGCAGAAGTCATTGCTGCTTGTAAAGAGGCTAACTGTCATACATTTATTACACAACTACCCGATGGTTATGATACGCTTGTTGGAGAACAGGGTGGTATGTTGTCTGGTGGACAAAAGCAACGTATTGCAATTGCTCGTGCTATTTTAAAGAATCCTTCAATTTTGTTATTAGATGAGGTAATATGTATTGATATACACATAACCGCATGATATTAATTCTTTGTTTGAATAGGCCACTTCTGCTCTTGACACTCAATCTGAACGTCTTGTCCAAAATGCCCTTGACAAAGCTTCAGCTACGCGTACAACAATTGTTATTGCTCATCGTTTGTCAACTATTATGAAGTCTGACCTTATCGCTGTTCTCGATCACGGAGTCATCATTGAAAAGGGAACCCACGAAGAACTTATCAATCTTAAAGGTGCCTATTCTAATTTGGTTGAAAAGCAAATGATTGGACTGAAAAAAGAAGAAGCAGATAGCCTTGGATCCACAAATGTAGATGAGGAGCTCTTATTACAAGAAAAGCTGGAACTTGAGAAGAAGTTGGCCTCTCAAAAACTGAATGTACTTGAACGAATGGAGTCTATTAACATGGAAAGAAAAGACCAAAAACAGGAAATTGACGCGTATGATTTAAAGATCCAAAAACAACTGGAGTTGAAAAAGAAAATGAAGCAAGAAAAAGCTCCTATCAGAAGAATATTAAAGGATCTGAAACCTGAAGGCGTTTACGTTATCCTTGGTGTTATAGGTGCTGCAATTAGTGGTAGTATCTGGCCAATCGACTCATTTTTATTTGCCTACATTATTGCTATTCTTTCCGGTCCAACAGAAGATATCCAACCTTCTTCACTAGGAGGTACCAATTTATATGCATTCCTGTTCGTTATTCTTGGTTTATCCTCTATGACAGGCAACTTTTTGAAAATCACCTTTTTCCAAATAGCAGGTGAAAAGTCTACCTGTCGCTTACGTGTCCGAGTATTTGATGCTTATTTAAGACAGGAGATCGGTTTTTTTGACGAAGAAGAAAACAATAGTGGTGCATTGACAGCAAAACTAGCCGTCGAAGCTCGGAACGTCAATGATTTGATTACAAAAGTCTGTGGTGATATAGCTGGTTTTTTCTCAACAATTATTTCCGGATTTACAATCTCTTTCATGCACAGCTGGCAGCTAAGTTTAGTTGTTTTGACTATGCTGCCATTTACAGTAGCTGCAATTGTATATGAAGTCCGTACGGAAAATGGCTACGTTGATGGAACTAAAAAAGCAAACAGACTAAGCGACCAAGTTGCCGGTGAGGCTATACGTGAAGCAAGAACCGTGGCCTCTTTAAACAAGCAATCCCATTTCGAAGAACGATACTATCATGCTAGAAAGCGTCCTCATCAGCAAGCCCTTCGCAAAGCATACCTTGCTTCCATCTCCGCTGGATTAAGTAAATCGATCAATATTTTTACAAGTGCCGTTGCGTACTATGCTGGTATCCGTTTTATGTTGAATGGATGGATCAACTTTAGACAAATGTTAGTTTGCATGTCAGTTATTATGACCGTTTCTGAATCTATCGGCGTCTTCTCTATTTCTGCTTCAACATTTTCAAAAGCCAAATATGCTGCGATTGCTTCATATGAAATTATTGATCGTACAAGTGACGTCGACCCTGATTTAGAAGGTATTGAGCCAGCAATCGGATCTGTTCGTGGTGATGCCGAATACAAAGACATAAAGTTCGCTTACCCATCTCGTCCCGACGTTTCCATCTTTAACGGCGATTTCGATCTCAAATGTTTTGCAGGAAAAACGGTTGCTTTGGTTGGTCCCTCTGGATGTGGTAAATCAACCACAGTAGGTATGCTCCAACGATGGTATAACCCACTTGAAGGTACTGTGTCTCTTGATGAAACTAGTGTCAAGTCTTACTCTCTTCACAATCTTCGTAGCCACATGGCAATTGTTTCCCAAGAGCCATCTCTTTTTAATATGACTATTGGAGAAAATATCAGGTTTGGTGTCGCAAGCCATGGTGATGTTACACAAGAGGAGGTTGAGGCAGCTTGTAAATCTTCTAATATTCATGAATTCGTTGTCAGTCTTCCTGAAGGATATAACACCCGAGTTGGCAACAAAGGTTCGCAACTTTCTGGTGGTCAAAAGCAACGTATTGCTATTGCACGTGCTCTTATTCGTAAGCCCAAAGTTCTGTTGTTAGATGAAGCTACTTCGGCTCTGGATAGTGACTCAGAGCGTCTCGTCCAAGAGGCATTAGACAATATTATTCAAGAAGGTGGAAGAACCACTATAACCATTGCTCATCGTCTTTCTACAATTCAAAACGCAGATGTTATTTGCGTATTGAAAGATGGTCTCGTTATTGAGCAGGGCACTCATTGGGAGCTTTTAGCTTTAAATGGTACCTATTCTGCCTTAGTTTACGAACAATCTTTGTCAATATTGTGAGACCAGAAATAACATATTCTTTTTACTGATATTACACCTTAACATTAATTACAACTCCCAAACATCCCTTGTACTTTACATAAATAAAAAATATCTATTTTAATAATCTATTTATCCATTGTAAAAAAGCAAATCTTTGTAATCAAGAATACATCCTTCAGTACGTTAACTTTTGATTGGTGATTCATTTATAAGCGGCACTCAATCATGCGGATAAAAAGTACTTTTGAATAATCATTATGGAATTGCCCTTTTTTTACGCTTTTGACAGACATCGTTTCATCGTAAATACATTGTTTGCAACACAATGTACTCTGTAAATATGTCATTTTATCTAGACTTACCTTTTTCACAAAATAATTCGTAAAAAAAGAAGTAGCGTGACACAAACTAATTATAGTAATTGGTGATGAATAAATGCACAAATGAAATCGAATGGTTGCTTATTGCCTTTGTAGATCACCTTTTGTTTCTCAGAAAGGACAAAGTTTACCAGTTTCACTATTCTGCATTTTTACTCACCATGCATCTCACATACTTTTTAGTGTCGGCTTAGACGGTCTAAACTAAACAAAAAAAAGAAAAAAGTCATGTAAAAAAAAAAAAAAATTGGACTCTTTATTCTTTTAGGTCACTATGAGCACATGAAATAAGCGCACGATAATTATAGGTCCCATTCTAAGTCTTTGTTCATTGGGACAGAGGCTATAATACGGCCCGTGCGCTCTCTGATAAAAAAGAAAAAAAAATCGGTCATTCAATAAATATCCCGGGAATTTATAAATATCTTCAACCAAAAGGTTTTTTAAAATCGCCCTTTTATTCCTTTAGTTTTTCCAAATGTTGTCACAGGATCAACGACAAATTAGACATACTCTCGCACGATTAGCGTTAGCTAAGGCTATTAAAACACCAGATGAAAACGAGCCAGAAGCAGAGCCTTGGACTAAAAGCATCATATTTAATCAACCTTTCTTGAAACAGTTACAGAAGCAGCAACATCAACAACATCAACAGCAACAACATTACCCGAAGCAGCCACAGCAACAGCAGCAGAAGCAATATCCTCCTCAGACACAACGCCGCGATAAGGTCTTAGACAATAAATTGAAGCCACAGGATAATAAAAAAAATCGCTCCAGTTTGGTTATTGGTAAATAAAAATTGGATGTTGCTTTAAGGGAAAAATGTATTAATATACTTTTAAATATAGAAAAAAAAATGTCTGAATTGAGTATTAAAAAACATGCTGCCGATGCCGCAGTTGCTAACCGTGCCTACCTACCAAGTGATTCGGAAGAGGACGATGACGTTGATGACGATGACGATAATGAAGACGAGGACGAGGACGAAGACGACGACGATAAATCTGAAGATGGTTCCGAAGTTATTAAAGGTAATGTAACCTTATAGGTTTAAGCTTTAAAAGCAATTACCTAAATTTAATTTTACCTAGCTCAAAATCAACAAAGACCTATTTCAGTCACTCCAAAGCCTCGCCCAAGTAGTATAGATTCTGCTAGGGATGATATCAGTACCCCTTCAAGAGGGTCGAATTCAAGTCATACATTACCATTAACTGACGATGATGAGGCATCCCCACCTATTCATCAGCAACGTATTCGTAGTAATAATGCTACGCCAATCAAGGATGAATACATATACCACCGTTCACCACAATCAAAACAAAACATAAATAGCAACAATAGACCCATGTCAGTGGATATGATTGATCCTGTGCACTATCAGAGGATGCAAATGTACCAGACCCAACTCCAATATCAACAACAGCTACAATACCAACAAGCAATGGCTTTGCAACAACAACAGAATGTATACCTATTATCTCAGAACCCAAGTGCTTTTTTCCCACCCGGTGCTCGTGTTATGGATGATCCTAATTTCTCACCACCACGCAATAAAAGACATAGCACTGGCCAGACCAGCCCGCGTGCAAGAAATCCTAAACAGCATAATGCCATGAATAGTACAGACGCACGGAGGAGAGCCGAGATGATGAAAAATTCAACAGACGCAGTCAACAAAAGGCCCCCTTCTCAATATTATTCTCAACCATTTCATACACCCAACATGATTAAAAGTAATAACTATCCTAGAAGCCCATCACGTAATATTTAACTTTATACATCCTTATTACACCCTTTACTATTAATTCCAAAACCTTACAATTACCCCGTTTACCACGCTTTTTTAAATGATTTTTTTAGTCGGATAAATAAAACTTTAATTCACACCAATACTATGCCATGGCAAAATGGGCATAAATAAACCGTCGTGTTTGACAGCAAAAAGAGATGACGGTTGACAATTTCTGAATTGAATAAAAAATCCGCCGATTTAAACGATACATCCTTAAAAAGATGGAATGTTAATTTTTCTCCTATCGTTAAAGATCTCACTGAGCAATATCGAATTAGCATAGAAAGAACTGATACATTGATTTTTATATATATATATGAGCAGTTACTTAGTCAATCAAGATTTCCATCAAGTGCAAATGATACACAAGGAATGTGTCGATGTGATTTAACGGCTAAAGTATTCTTGCTTCAGATAAACATGTGAAAACTATCGCAACGTGGTAGCCATATTACAAAGGAACTTGGAGATCATTTTTTAATTTGAAAGAACAAAAAGAAGGATTCAGTCCGTTAATTATATTGGGTGTTCAACGCATTACACTACACACACACAGAGATGACTTTTAGGGACGAAATTCAAGGTAGATCCAAAGTGCCTGGACACAAACTGACATGAATTTAAATTGAAAGTGCGTTGCACACCAAAGTCCGCACCATTGGTAGTCTTTAAAGCAAATTCTATTTTCATTGTGGACCCTTCCCCCCCTTTATCTTTTTTTTTAAATAATGGCAGCAGATGATTCATCATCAACCTCAAAAGTCCAAAAAAGTTTTGCGGTTGATAATGTCGCTTTAAAGACAAAACCTTCACGATGGCATACAAAAGGTAAACATTAACTGGCTACTTTATTTTGTAAGCTCTTACCTAACACGCTTTTTAAAATTTAGAATTCTATTTTTATTATGTGTGTTTTTGCATCGTGGTTCCCTACATGTTTTATGTGACATACAATCTCAGTACAGGTAGGCGATCTACACAAATTCATCCAAAGAGAGCACTTTACTGAACTTGTACTCTTAGAATCGCACCCCAATTACCCTCTTTATGCACCACTATTATCTAAAGGTTGGATGTTTGGACGTCAAGTGGTAAGTCTCCTCTTAAAGAATACACGATCATCATAATCGGCTAATGCCACAATGTAAAGGACGACAGCGATTCTCAGTATGGACAATTTCGTGAAAATATACCCAAAATCCTTCCACTTGTGTTGATTCATTTACTCTTGAATGCAGCTAATCGTCGATATAAATTCGTGGCTTCACAAATTCGGTTTACACTTTTGACTTCCATGGCAGTACTTTTCATATTTCATGGATCCAGCAGTATTAAATATCTGACTATTATTTCGATGAGTTTTGCTATTGGACGCTTGGCTGCAGGCACCAAATGGAACCCTTTATTGACTTGGACATTCAATTTACTCGTGCTGTTCCTAAACGAACATTACAGTGGCTATAGATTTGCAGACATGTTTGGACCTACCTTTGAATGGTTGGATGCCTACGAAGGTGTGCAAGCAAGATGGCATGTCTTGTTCAATTTTGCAATGCTTCGATTGGTCTCGTTCAATATGGATTATTATTGGGCATGCAATAGTAAAAAGGAAAGCATCAAGGATCACGATGAATTGGATAACGAACCACGTCTTTCTGACAAGGATCGTATTACAACACCACTTAAAAATTTAGACCAAGATTATGGATACTTAAATTTTTTAGCTTATATTTTATACACTCCCCTTTTATTATGTGGTCCTATCATTACGTACAATGATTTCATATCTCAGGTGAGTTTTAACATGATATCACAGGCAAAAATTTTACGATTTTTTTAACAGCTGTTTATAGTTCCAATTTCCTTCCAAAAATATCACAAAACGTTATGTCGTGCTCTATGCTATCCGATTGGTAATTGTGATCCTAGTGATGGAATTGACGCTTCATTTCTTATACGTTGTGGCTATCAGTAAATCCAAAGCTTGGGATGGCGCCTCTCCACTTGAAATGAGTATGATTGGATATTTTAATTTAGTCATCATCTGGATGAAATTGTTAATTCCATGGAGATTCTTCCGTTGCTGGGCATTAGCTGATGGCCTCTGGGTCGAAGAAAATATGGTGCGTTGTATGAGTAACAATTTCTCAGCTCAAAGATTTTGGAAGAGTTGGCATCGTACTTTTAATCGTTGGATCACACGGTATATTTATATCCCTCTTGGTGGAACAAAGTACATGGCTTACAACATCTGGATCGTGTTCACTTTTGTTGCCTTGTGGCATGATATCGAACTGAAACTGTTGGCTTGGGGTTGGTTGATTTGTCTCTTTTTATTACCTGAAATCATCGCATCCAGTCTGTATAGTGAAAGAAAATTTGGCGATAAACCTTATTATCGATTTGTCTGCGGTCTCGGAGCGGTCGCTAATATTTTGATGATGATGATTGCCAATCTGGTAGGTTTCGCTGTGGGTGTAGACGGCGTGAAAGAAATGTTGACCAAAATATTCGGTACAGCGAACGGATTATCATTCCTTGCTTCTGTTACCGTCTGTTTATCGATTGCGGTTCAAATCATGTTTGAAATTCGCGAGTCCGAAAAAAGAAGAGGTGACCCCAAATGGAAAATGTAATAGACTTAATATATAATAAAAACAAATCCACAATCATCTCACATGATAAGCTGGATAAAATTAAAAAAAAAAGAGAGACCTCAGTCAAAAACTCGAGCACAATTGCTATGCCATGTGTATGTATATTTATATTAAGAAAAAGAAGGAAAATCGTGTGCGTGAGTGGGGGCTTTAATCAACATTATCAGTACCAGTATATTTAGCAACTGAATTCATGCTTAAAATTTTAAATCCACTGCCATCCCCTCGGAGACGAACAATACCATCATGACTATCTACACCAACGAGGGAACCTAATTCACCACGATGCTCACCCAAGATAATTCGAACATTATCCTTTTTACTAGGTCTGACAGGCTCTAAATAATCAAATGACATGTCCACCTTTTGATGGTTATCCAGTAAACTAACAAGACATTTACGACTATTTCTATTCACCGTGACAATTTTACCCAATTGTCCTTGCTGTGCTTCTCCTTGACTTCTCTTCAATTTAACCTCAATCTCCTCAATGGGCCAGTTATCCTCGCCTTGATCGCCTTGATCCTCTACATGTCCATAATCACCTCCTGTTGGCATGAACGGTGTTTGAGGTAATCCTGTGGCAGGTGTAGTAGGCATGAAGTTACCTGGTGTAGTCGGTGGGTAATTTCCAGGTGTGGGCGCTGACATCATAGCCGCAGGTGTGGGTGGAATCAAATTAGCACCAGGTGTAGGCGCGGCTTCATATGGTGTAGGTGCATCATATGGTGTTTGTGAGAAATTGACAGCAGGCGTAGGCGCTCTTGCTTCGTAACTAGCAGCTGGTGTAGGAGCGGTCCAAGAGGCACCGGGAGTGGGTGCTGTATCGGCATCTGCAAATCGACTACTGGAGTAACTTGATGATTTAGGTACTTGTGGAATAGATGATGATGAGGACGATGAACGGGCATTGTGACTTTGACTCGATCTACTTTCATGACTACTACTGTTACTGCTGCTATTCCAGGCAGGAGTTTCATGACCCCACATGGGAGTCTTTGACCCAGAATCCCAAGCAGGTGTACGACCACCATCATTATAAGGATTAGGGGTTCTAGCGCCAGAGTTCCAGGCAGGTGTTTTGGAACCAGAATTCCAAGCAGGCGTTCTGGATCCAGAGGCTGCACCATGCATAGGTGTCATAGCACCATCACCAAATCGACTGGGTGTGGCCATGGGTCTAGCGAAACCACCATTGTTACTGACTGGAGAATCGAAGCGATCGGATGCAGCTTGACCAATGGAGTTGCCTTGGGCATCCAAGATCATTAAATGATTCTTTTCCACATTAATGACTTTACAATTGGTATGAAGTTCTACACGAGCTTGATTATCGGTAGCATCTTTGACAATACCGATATAGCCTTTATGCGGTCCTTGTGAGATACGAACGGTTTTGGCAACTAGATTATCTCTACCACCACGACCACGGCCGTAGAAACCGCCACGGGCTCCACCACGTCCACCACGTCCTCCTCTAGCATCCATACCCCCTCTGGCATCCATACCGCCTCTACCATCCATACCGCCTCTACCATCTCTACCGAATCCACCGTTAGCAGCGGCACTGCCAAATTGAGGGTTTTGCTTCTCAGGATTCTAACAAGATGTTTAGGATGGGACATATGCTATTTTACTTCGACTTACAGGTAATACACGGCCTCTTGTTGCAGCGCTCACGATAGAACGAGTACTAGTTACCCAGACACCAAAGTTATCTGCATGCTCACGAGAATGCAAGAAAACTAAATGACGGTAAAGATGAAGTACAGAACAGTTACGCTTATCTCCAACTTCCATCACGGTATCGCCGGAACGAATACTGTTTCCATTGGCATCTGTTGCAACAGCCTTATTGCTATCACGCTTATTAGTAATCTGATGAGGTTCCACAGTACGCATTTCTCCATTTTGTGTCAAGACCTTGAAAGAATCACGATCTACCTTCACAATCACACCCACTGTATAGAAACTGTTTTTTTTTCGGAAAGTTAATCATCAACTGCGCAAATTAAAATTTCTGTACTTACTCAAGTTGCACCAAATCATGCAATTCATAATTACCAATAACCGTCTTACCAAACATGACTTCAGCAGCTTCACGTAAATCCTTAGCAAATACACGCACTTCCTTGAGTGAGGCATCGGATAACAAGGTCACGATACTGTCTTCGATATTTAAAACCATACCACTTTCATCCTTGAAACGACCATTGATAACTTTGACATGGTCACCTGCCTTGAACTTTTTACGTAATTGTTTGGCAGGTAAAGTCACTCGTTTTTTAATACCATCCATATCCAAAGAAACCACAACAGATGAATCATGCACATTCTCAACTGTACCCCAACTATGAATCATATCACCTTCAATCACACTCACCACATCACCATTCTGGAATAAGGTTTGAGCTTGAGCGTTATTGATAGCCATGCTGGATAATGAAGTTAAATCGATGGAACGTTCACCATCTTCACCATTTAATTCACCGCTTCCAGCAAATCTAGCAATTTCATCCAGTGTAGGGTTGACATCTTCAATTTGCAATGTAGTGACCTTCATGTATTTTTCAAGATAACCATCACGATAATGATCACCATTGTAAACCCAATAAGGACCCTTTTTCTGAAGACTGGAAATGGAGCGGTTGGCTAATCTCTCAGGGTTGAATAATTTAGGTTGAGCGCGAATACCCTTCTTGCGCTTAGTATTCAATCCATTATTGCTCTCTTCATCGTTTGCGGTTTCGAGATCTAAACGAGGTACGACCTTGACACGGGCCTGATCTTGTGAATCGGAAATCTCCATGACTTGAGCTAAATCACCAGCATAGGTACCACGTTTAATACGAACCCAGCCACCCAAGGGGATTTCAACCTCTTTCTTTTGTACAGAGATAGAATCAACCATATCTTTAATGGGTACTAACATGAGTGTTGACATATATACGTTAGGAATATTGGCTAATGCTTCTTGTACATGAGCTTGTCGTCGCGCTTCAACGTAAATATAACCCTTTAATGTTTCTCTGGCAAATGCGGAAAAGGTATCTAATGAGTTGGCGCTTTCCTGACGATCAAAACAACGCTTCATCAAACCAAAAATAACATCCTTCTCTTTACCAGGCTTTTGAAAAGGAAAAAAATATGTGATCAATGAACTATGCGCCTCTTTTTTTGTGTCCAAGTCAAAATTACCTTGCACTTGACCATCCATAAATTAGGATCACTGACGCTGGGAAGTAATAATTGTTGAGGCACTTCTTCTGTATCTTTGAAACTTTGAGGTTTACTACGACCACCATATTTCTCAGCATAAAAAGCAGCTACTTGCTCATCGTCCATGCCCTCCATTTCTCTTCTTCTACGATCTAAATCAAGATGTCGACGAGAGGTGGTTTTTGTGTTGGATACCTCCTCATTCTCTTCTTCAATAAAACCGTCTAATTAAATAAAAAAAGGTTAACCATCGCGCGTCTCTCCCCCTTCTTTTATTTTGATTTTTCTTTGGATTTCAGTTACCTTCTCGGCCGTATTCTTCATCCTCATCATCGTCGTCTTCATCGTCGTCCACAATAGCCATTTCATCAATGAATGGATTATACTTTCTCTTGGCAGGTCTCTAAAAAAAACAAATAAAAGATAAATACGAGTCCAAAAATAAAAGGCGGGTTTCAATTGATTATTACAACATCCTCGTCATCGTCTTCTTCCTCTTCCTCATCCTCGTCGTCATGAAGAGGTACAATGTCTTCTTTATCCGCGTCTCTCTTGTCCGATCTTTTGAGAGCCATTATGTTATAGATTATTATAGAATAGAGAGAAAGAAAAAAAAAGTTGAAAGAATGGGGAAGGCTATATGTGACTCTCCAATTTCCAAGCGGACACTTAAAACACGTCATCTTTTTATGATTGAACATACACTATCTCTCAAGTGCCAAAGCACTGCTAACTCATCCAGCCATTCCCATATGAGTGCATCATATTTTCACTAGAAAACTTTAGGCGCGTACCCTCTTTTTTTTGAAACATTGATAGTTATGTTGGACGGCACTTACTTGTTTAGGGACGGATGCTACTCCGTCCTAAAGCTACGAAAAAAACTTATGCTTTCTGGTGCGGACTTGATTAGACTATATACTGATATATGACTAAAATGATGGCAATAAATGAATCTATAAAGTGAGTATAACACCACTGTCAAAATAGGGCTGTTCAAGTTTTGTACATAAGCAGCCTGTTACCAAAATAGAATGACACTGATTTCTATAAATACAATTAAAACTTACTAAACGTATAAATGCTATAATGCGGTACCTGTATCTCAGTTTACATTTGTACTAAGCTTTATTCCATTTTACTTTAAGAAATCTGTACGCCATAAGGCTCGTATGCTATGAAAGTGTCAAACAGCGGAGTTTCCTGATAATCAAGGTAAACAACAAAAAAGGGAGTGCAAGGATCTTTTAATTTTTTTTTTTACATTGTCTTTTAATGTTCCTGTTAAAGCGATCGCTGACATGGCGTCCCCGATGCGTCATGCGAGGCTATAGTCAATTCGAGCAAGGTGATTTCTGCATGTTACGTCAAGTCAAGACCAACAAAAAGTTTTTTGTGGGGCCTTTAGAAGCAGCCAGTGAAAAGGGAGTGAAAGGAGGTGCGATTGCCCATGACAGTATTATTGGAAAACAACCTCGATCGATTATTCGCACTGGCAATGGTAAAATGCATACTGTCTACTTATTTAATGACTTGGTTTTAATTTGTTGAAATAAGATAGTGTCGGATATATGGTCCACTTTCCTACTTTGGAAGAGTAAGGCCATTTTGTACAATAGAAAAAAAAGTATAAGTATAGGGAATAAAAGGGAACTGACATTCTTCTTCTTAGATTTGTGGTCAATGTGCCTCGTGCATGTACACCCATCTATCCCAAAGACGCTTCCACCATTGTAAGTCAAACAAAACAAATTATAGCATAGTTCGCTGACATGGGAGTTTGACAGGTCCAAATGCTCGATCTGGAACCGGGCCATCGTGTACTTGAAGCGGGTACAGGCAATGGATCATTGACGTTATATATGGCACGAGCCGTAGCAGGAGGTGGTAATTGTGTTGGCAAGATTGACACTTACGATATCCGAGAATCCCATTCCAATACAGCACGTAAACATGTCGAACGTTATTCTCGAGGTAAATATAGTCCTGTGGTTTCTTTCCATTTAGGTGCGGTGGCCGATACATTACCACAACAGGAAGAAGGCAAGGGACAATATGATGCCATGGTCTTGGATATGCCTGAACCCTGTGATCAAATCCCACGTCTTTTACCATACTTACGCAACGATCGATTCTTGGTATGCTATCTACCCAACATGACTCAAGTGCTTGCGTTGGCAGAACTGATTATTGATTTACCCTTGGTGATGGAAGATTGTATTGAGGCCGAATGGAAGGAATGGGAAGTGAGAGCTACGCATATAAAAAGTCGTATAAAGCAAGCACAAGAAGGAGAGGAAGTCACTGTGCCTCACGATGCTTGGGTATGTCGACCCAAGAATTTTGACGTTAAGGGACATACTGCTTTTCTTGTCAAGCTTAGAAAATCCGCTGCTGTTGTTGAATAATATTTTTTTTTGGTGTCACAAACAATCATGCGTCAGATAACAGTACGTTTTTTTTTTATTATTATTCTCTATCCCTTTCTCTTTTTTTTTCTCCCTCTTACATTAAATAAAAAAAAAATGGTTCAGGAATCACTTGCTAAGCAAAATTTTCAAAAGACAGCAGAGGATGCGGTCAATAAACAAGTGCAATTATATCAACTTGCACAACAAACTTATATTGCTGCATCTGCTTATTTTGATAGAGCCGATACCGCCTTACCCGTAAGTTCCTTTAATACATGGACTTATTTAATTTTCTGAAACATATATATAAAAAAAAAAAGGGATTTGTAAAATACTTTCATGAACGCGCTGAGCATGAAGGAAAATTAGCTCAACATTTAATTGACTATCAAATTACGCGTGGAGGTATCTGTGTTCTCAGCAACATCCCTCAACCCCAGGTAGAAATCATATAGACTCACGTAAAAGTTTTTTTTTTCTAAACAAAGTTTTCTCGTGATTTAGACGGATTGGCAAAGTGCCACCAATGCGGTTGAAACGTGTTTGGCACTTGAAAAAGATGTCAACAAAGCTTTGTTAAGTTTGGCTACTCTTGCTCTCAACAATCAAGATAGTCATTTGCGCCATACCTTAAAGTAAGGACCTTTTCTTTTTCACTTAATAATGACACTAATCAATTCTGAAGGGGCGGGCATCTGTCTGTCAAGGTAGAAACGATTGAAAATATTGCCAAGGGTTACACGCAACTTCAAAGAGTGGGTGGTCAAGGACTTGGACTACACTTGTTGGATGCCGACTTGTATGAACACGAAAAATTCGTTGTTTAAAACACAATAAACGTCTCCACATCCAAACCATAGTGTTTCATATAAAAAAAAAAATGACATTCCTTCGTTATCATTCTTTTCTTTTATGCAGGCTGTAAGCATCATGATCTTCTCACTGTTCTAAACTTTCATTATGACAGTTGCCAAGGCTTTTTTTTATAAGTTCCTTTGGGTACACATGACGTTTTTGACGATTGGGTATTCTTTGACCCCCCTTCACTTCCCAGATAGTACTACCATCCAATCAAATGATGACCCAGAAAATAGGGCGCCGGTTTAAAAAAGATGTAAAAAATGATGTCAAGAAACCTTTTTTTTTTCATTGTCGCACATTTTTGTTTCTCTTTAAAACATACAACAACATGCCAGGTAGTCTATCCAATTTGACAGACGGTATTGTAGATAACGGTAGTATCAGTCATACTATTGGTAATATCGCTCGTGCAGCCACTACACGTCATCGTCATTCCACACATCTAAGTAGCACCAGTGCACTACCTGTTCCACCACCTCCACCTCAACATACAAACGTTGCAT